CTGCTAGTCTATTAGAAACTCTGGTCTATCAAAGATTTGTAAGTTGTATATTTTGAAACTATGAGAATATCAGTAGATTTTTGATAATACAATCAACATACAGGTATAGAATTATGAAAATAGCTTTAGGTTTCTTGAAGATAATTGATGATAATAAATATAACCAAGATGGATATGAGTGAAATGTTTTAGCATTCAGCTTTTTAAGAGCATAAATAAAAATATACAAAACATAAACATGGTATCTAATTTACACATATAAATATATATGGTATTGAAAATGCCAGAACAAAGTTAATGTTTTAAAGTAAAAGGAATAAAGTATACTCTTGCTAATTCTTCTTTGAATTAAAACATTTTTTAAAGATAAGTAGAGGAGCCAAATTCAAGTGGCTATGGCCTGTGATCTTAGCTACGCAGGAGGCTGAGATCTGAGGATTGTGGTTCAAAGCCAGATCAGGCAGGAGAGTTCTTCAGAGTCTCATCTCTAGTTAACCACCAAAAAAAAAAAAAAACAAAAGTGGAGCTGTGGCTTCAAGGACAGTACATAGTACCAAAATTTTTCTTCATTTAAAAAATGAGAAAAATACAATCTTTAGTCTATCATAGCTGTACATTCTCTTAAGAGACTGATCTTCAAATGGCCTTCCTGGTAGTGGCAATCTACTGTGCTAATGCCAAAGAAATAAAAGGAAAATATTTTCTACAAATGAGGAAAATAAGTTATTAATTAAAAAAAAATACTATAGAGGAAAAGTCAGGTCTTTTTTAACCTAAAGTCATAGAGAATAAATTGGGTATGTTAGAATGTGCCAAATGTCATTTTCACTAAAGTGGATTCTGATATTACACCTCTTACTTATGCTGCTATTTATGTTAGAAGCTTTTGTGTGGTTGCTGTAAATTCCTCAAAGGTGTCAGGTCAAGTTCCTCCTGAAAGTGCAGAAAGCTTCCTAAGCAGCAGATCAAAAGCATCAACACATGTCTATAACATCTTACAAGTCATGTCAAAGTCAGCATTTCCCCAACCATATTTCATTGCCCAAAACACAGACATTCACATAGGCTCAGCTCCCACACACAGCTTCAAGAGACCTCATTAAGAGAAAGCAAATTGCTTCCTCCTCTTTTACTAAAGGTTTTTCTTTATGAGGAATTGTTAAAACTTCATGTAAAAGACTTGGACAGATAAACTTCAAGAAAAAAATCTATGGTTGATAGATTAGGTGTGCTTGGAAGGGGTAGAAATGGTTGCTTTGTATCATTTGATTATCACAGAGAAGAATAGGAAGTGTCTATGAATGATTTTTTTCTCCTCTCATTTGGAAGTTATTAGTAGACTTCCCTTTGTTCCATTGAGAAACAAGAGAAGAAAATATGAAGTTACAGCAAACCCATATGGCCAGCAGGAAAGTCCTATTTAATTGCTTTATTGCCAGAAATGTTAAATCACTTCCTGAGGATGCAGTTCAAGTGAAACATATGGCAGCTATTAGCCAAAGCCCCTAACAAATTCAAAAATATGTGTTCTGTGGGAGTTTTCTCATACGCAATGAGACTTACTATTTAAACTATACCTGTAAACATGCAGTTAGTATGCTAATTCTAAATATTAGATAAACACTTTCTTAATATTGATGTGGACAAATGACTTGCATGGGAAGTGTCTTTCTAATGGAGAGCTACTTCATTTCCATTTGAATTGTTCCTATTATCTACTACCTACTCCTTTCTCGGAAGGCCACTTAAGAAATGATCAAGCAAATCCAGGCCACAGAACTGTCCTTTGTCCTCTCATGTAACTGTGTGAACTAGATTGTGAATCTCACAAAAATACTTACCTAAGCGTTTTGTAATTAGGATAATGTGAGGGCCTGTAATTAAGAATCAACAAATCTTTCTAATTAACTGAAAATTAAACATCAGCATTTTCTACTTGCTTTAGTGCCATTCCTTCCTGGAAAATTTGACAAATGTGATCAATTTATTCATAAATCATTTTCTAGAGAAATAATTTACTTTCAAATAAAATCATCCAAGAGCTAGCCAGCTGTTTGTACTATGTCGTCTTTATTTTTTATTTTACTTTTTGGAAAGTATGAGAAACAACAGACTGAAAGGGGGTCATCTCTAGGGTAGGAATGATCTATGTTGTCTTACTATAAAAAGAGACATTAAAAAAAATCCTAAGCACAATAAACTTTGACTATCTTTTCACCACAGAATTTTATTCCATTACTGAATGGAAGTGAGATTCCATAGTACAAAGACTTGTACAGAATACAGTGCCATCATAAAGCAATTGTGAAATATTGGCATTGGGTATATGAAAGCTAAAATATTTTTGCTTCATAACCCAACTCACTGATCACATTTTTATCAAATAATATAAATGCTAGGGTATTTTTATAATCATATATAAAATTACTTTTATAATCGTATATAATACATAAAAGGCCTGTCTTAATAGTCAACTTGTAATTTGGAACATGCTGTTAAAAGAAGTTAGAGATGACTTACACAATTTCTAACTGTCTGAAACAAATATTTACGCATAAATATTTTGTTAACCAAGTCAATGTCTTGTCATGGAATCCTCTTTCATTTCAGGGTGCTTGGATCAGTGTAAACTCAGAATTCAACACACCAGTGGGTGTATCTTGGCTTCCATTACTGGCTGTGTGACTATGTAAAAATGACAGTAATTTCCAGGAGTTTCCAGGATTGTTGTGAGGACTGAGTGAATTTAGGCAGACAGAAGTTTAAAATTGTGTGTTATATTTACAAAGCACTGAGTATAAATTGTGTGAAGAACTTCCTGCATGAACAATCTTTAATTTCCTATCATCTACCTTAACTTTGTCGATCATTGAAAGTGATTTTTCTTTTCTCTCTTTTTTTCTTTGTGCCAGTCCCAGGGCTTGAACTCAGGACCTAAGTGCCATCCATAGGCTTTTTTGTTCAATGCCAGCACTCTATCACTTGAGCCACAGCTCAGCTTCTGGGTTTTTTTGTGGTTAATTTGAGTTAAGAGTCTCACAGACTTTCCTGCCCAGGCTAGCTTTGAACTGCTGTACTCAGATCTCAGCCTGCTGAAGTAGTTAGGATTACAGACATGAGTCATCTGTGCCTGGCCTGAAAGTAATTCATAATGATTTTGTGATCTGTTTACTTTTTCCCCAAACAGAAACCAATTTAAAACTTTTGATCAAAGGTAAACTTGAGAGATAGACTTAATATTTAGCAATATTTAGATAGACTTAATTATTTAGCAATAAATATATTTAATTCCACTTTAAAATACTCTTTAAAAGAGATACATAGAGAGTAACAAATATCACCAAAACTATACAATAGCTTTTCATAAGAGGAGCAATAGCCTTACCATTATATTGAATCAGACAAGGTCTAGATGGTTTAGAAGGTCTAGATGCTGGAAGTCTGTGCCAACTATTCAATGCTTGCTCTTTAAACCTGATCTTCCATATTGACATTTAATAAAGTGACATGAATACAACTTCCATATAGGATGTAGAGTTGATGTTCACACCCAAAGAGCAAGTGCTGAACAACTAGATATGGACTGAGATTATGTAACAATCTTTTAGTTTAGATCAGTCATTCTAGAACAAATCCCTCCTGTACATTTTGTCCATTGGGTCATCTTTATTTATTTACCTTATTTTGAAAATTACCTCAATCTCCTGACTCCTTAAATTCTAAGGGTGATCATCTTAGCAGTAATCATCTTGAAAACGGATAAGTACCTGAATATTCCAAGTTTTGGGAAATGAAAATAGACGCTATTTTCCTAAGTATTTAATCCACAGTAGTAGTGTGCTTAGAGTGAGCTCTCTCCCCCCCTTTCTCTCTCTCTCTCCCTCTCTCTCTCTCACACACACACACACTCACACACACACATGCATATACACACACAACATCACGCACTTCTCTCTCAAACATATGCACACACACATGCATACATATACTCATATACCCATATATACACATTCACAGTCACCCACTGAGGCATGCTTCTTTTCTTTTCTTGCCCTGACTCTGTAGACTTTGTTCTTAAAGCTGGGGGAAGGCATCACTATCAGACCTATGTATGTACATATAGATAGGTAGGTAGGTAGGTAGGTAGATAGATAGATAGATAGATAGATAGATAGATAGATAGATAGATAGATAGATAGATAGATAGATAGATAGATAGATAGAGATATACATATATAAATTTATATACACATATAGATAAGGATATATCTATATGTCTGTACCTATGGGTAGAATTTTGTATAATTCCTAAGATTATACAAATGTCCACTACAAGTTAATGTCCCTATGGGTAGCTGCACTTCATACAGAAATAAAAATTCCATAATTTGTTTAGGGTATCTTTAGAGAATAGCACTAGACACACTTTGAAGTTTTTTGAAACATCTCATTCTGATGCCTTTTTTGAAATTAGTGATGATAATAAACAGTGGCAAAGTAGAACTTTTAACCCTTTATATAAGTAAATTAACCCATTTAGTCAATGCCCCTAGATGCAAATGGTAAGGACAGTTAGCTTTACCATGAAGACCCCATATGCTTTGTAGAAGACTCCATTTATTTCTGTCAGCAGCCATGTGATTATCCTCCCTTTAGAGAGGAAAAATCTGATCCTTGAGATGTAAATGCACACCGAAAATCAGCAGCAGGACAGAGATGCTCAGAAACAGAACAGATAATTTATTTTTTCAGGCTTCCAAAATTAGGAGAAATATGCCACTTGACTGCTAATGTCTTTTAGACAATATGGATGTAGTTTAGGTGAGTCTGTCTTCTACACTTACAAAATGCTACCTAACTATTGCAGCCAAATGAAATGCCTTCATGCCACGAGGCTAATCTTTTTATCATCAAGATCTATTTGCTTTTCACCACCACAATGTTTCTTTTAATGTTTCTTCTAATAAGACCATAATTTTCTTCTTTCTTTTTTTTTCCAGGCTGTTCCAAGTTTTTCAAATAAGGAAAAGGCTGGTGAGTTGATACTTTGGTGGTGTTTTCTCTCTTATCTATTTTAGTATGAATTTCAACTTTTAGACACTTCTTTAATATACACAAATGTGTTTATCTCTTTTATGTCTGTGAAGATGTTATTGTTGGATTCCTCAAAATAAATCTGCCATGCTTAAGAGTTATGCAAACAATATCGGGTTTTGTTGCACAACATTGCATTGTATAGAATCAGGCTCAGCTCACTGCAGCCACAATTTGTTTCTTAAAGAAGAGAATTCAATGTTGGTCAATATGATAAGGAATGGCCTTTGGAAATTGGTTGTGAGTAGTTGTCAAGATTTTTTTAATTCCTAAATAATTAAGTGATCACTTCAATAGATGTACTTGATGTTAAAAGTTGATACAACACTGTGAAAAATAATTATGAAGCAACATGAATAACCATATTGAGGAAAAAATTGTAGTATATTTCCCCTGCTCTATTCTATGATTTAACTATTGAAGAGTATTATGGGAAAAGACTGATGAGAAAAGCAGAGCCTGAAAGATGAGACTTGGATTGGTGGAATTGTGTGCTTTTTAAGAATCTTTTGATCTCTGTCAATATTTTTTTATGTGCTCAGTATAATGGAAATAAAAAACGGAAAAAAATCAAAGCCAATAGGTCCCATGGTTTCCCTTATTTGCAATTACTAGTATATGTCTGAGACAAGCAGAAACGGTCAGATAAGCTGATGTTGGGTGAAATGAACCCCAACATAAGGATTCAAATGTTTTTTTTTCTTTCATGTGATTGTTTCTAACACATTTATAATATGATTTCTTTGTTGCTTTGTATGTCCCTCCCCCACAGTATAACCCCTGCTTTCAATGTATTTGATGTCAGTATAATTTGTGGAGGAGAAGGGAAAAAAACAAATTGTTTAAATAGGGATACAGGTGGACTCATTGCAACGATGAGATGTACTAGTCGTTATGTCGAAAATGAACTTTACAACTTGGGGGGGGGGAGAAGCAGGGCGGGGAGGGGGGAATGGCGAGAAGATGGGAAAGGATGGGAAGGGTCAACAAAGGAGGAGGCTACAATGCTTGATAAGAAATGTACTCATTACCTTGCCCATGTAATTGTAACCCCTCTGTACGGTATTTTCACAATTAAAAAAATTAAAACCATATTGAATATGTACCACCAAAGGTGAAGCCTTCTACTTGGTTCACAAATATTTGTGATGCTGAACAGCAGTAGTGAAGGGGAAAGGGTCATCCACAAGAAGAGATCATTATTTCAAGTACCTTTACTCTAAAACATTTGTTTGTCTGATAGTATTTTTATGCTAAGGATATTCATTATTTATTTATTCACTTATACAGGTAAATAGATTTCATACAAAACATTTTACTTGCATGAAATACTAAATTTGCCTCTTATGGTTAGTCTATCTGACTTATTCATTCTAAGAATAGTGAAAAGCCTGCAGAATAAGAGAAAAATATTGAGCTGGCCTCATGGGTGAATGCAGAGGGAAATTTGTTGTTTAGCAATGTTCTAGCTTTATATGGATGAACTACAAAGAAGAAGTAAATTTAAATTCCAGTTGCAAAGTACCAAAATCTTCACATAAATTAGTTTGGATGTCCAGTTAAAAAGGGAAGAAATCAATGGTTCAGTAGGCATGTGCATCTCAAAGAGAAATTTAGGTCCTGCTTTATCTTAGGTTGTGACATTTTCTGTAGTTACCCAGATTAGCTGAAATTTAAACAAAGTATGTAACAGGCCAAAGTTTTCATTTTATCCCAGAAGGTCAGCAAATTCTTTCAGACCCTAAGGAGAGCATTTGGATGTAAACTGCTGGCTGGTGGGGAGAAAGAAGGAATGTCCTTATTTAGGGAGTGAGAGGCAAAGAGCTGTCTTCCTTCCACTTAGTAGCTTCAGAGGAATAGGAAGAAACACTTCATTTGGGGGTTTCATAATGCTTTCAAAATATGATGACAACAAAGGTCTGATTAAGCAAAGAGTATGAGTAGAAATACTTCTCATAACCCTGGAAACTTTCCACAACAACAAAAGAAAACATGAACATAACTTCACTTGTTAGTTAACAACATATTTTGGCCCTTATGATGTTCATAAGGCACAAATTAGAATGTTGGCAGATTGAGTGGTAGTACACACCTATAATCCCAGCAGGTAAGGCTGGGGCAGGAAGACCACATGTTTGTAGCCAGCCTGGGCTTAGGAGCAAGGGTCTCTCAAACAAACAAATAAAGTGGATAGATCCAATTCATACAGGATTTGGGGAAATTGTGTAAAGAAGGAGACCAATTAACTGTAATATATGACCTGCCTGTGCCCCAGGCCCAGCAGTGACCAACTGAGATACTTAATTACCCAAGTTGGACTGATTGAAAAATAACCTAGCTCTCTTGCATATCAAAATATTAGGATCTTTAGAAGGTACTACAGAAAGAATTTTGATTTAAGTTCCTAGACAAGCTCTACACTTGAGAGTACATAAAAAATTGAATTATAAATAAAAGAGAAATTTTATTGCTAAAGTGAGTGTATTTGCCTATCAACTCAACTGCCATGCTTGAATATTTAGCAAATTATGGTACTGTTTGACAGTTCTAAAGAGAAGATGATTTATTTCAAAAGTTGCGAGCACTATAGCAGGGAAAGCAAACTATTTTTTAATATTTCTAGACCTTACATTGCTGGATTTAAAGCATTAAAAAACATAGTATTTTAGGTAGGAGTGTACATCTCCTTGTTGCCAGCTCTATGAGTTGTATGTTTCGGTTTCTTTGGAGCAGAAGGACAGCCATGAAGGCAAAGAGCCCACTCACTTCTCAGGGAGTAATTGAGCTCATAAATAGGATTAAGCTTCATACTCACCCCGAGGCCTGTCGTTTTTTTTTCTTTCTGCCTAAATGAATATAACCTATTGTTCCTTAATAAGAAAGTCTATTTTTAATCTGGTTGACCTCTTATCCAAGCCAACTGGAACCAATTCTATTAGGTTTTTTGAAGCTCTAAATAAAAAAGAAAATCACTTGGGGACATTCCGGTCATCATTCTTGCGCTGCAGTTGCCTGATTGGCCTCCAAGGAACTTCAGTAGACACCTTCTATTCTCATCCATGTTGTTGTGTTAGATCACAGCCTAGTGGAAACAACTCTTCTGTACATCTCCTACCTTGAGAGGACCAAACACTCCAGGAGGAAACACAGGTTGAAACAGCCCCCCACCCCATGGAGTCATTCTCCAAATACATACCAAACAGCTTAATACTCTAAACAGCTCTCTAGGTTCTTTGAAGAAAGTATGGTGATAAAGCCTGGTCTCTGTCCTAAACTGAACTCAAACTCCAGAAAAATCTCCCTAAAGGCAGCAAGTGAGAATCTTTTCTCTCTTCTCCTCTTCTCAGTTGAAAAAATTTTTTTTTAATTTTTTTGGGTCCGGTCGTGGGGCCTGAACTCTGGGCCTGGGCACTGTCCCTCAGCTCTTCAGCTCAAGGCTAGCACTCTACCACTTGAGCCACAGCACCACTTCCGGCTTTTTTCTTTTTGCTTATGTGGTGTTGAGGAATCGAACCCAGGGCCTCAGGCATGCAAGGCAAGCGCTCTACCACTGAGCCACCTTCCCAGCCCCTCAGTTGAAATTTTTTTAACCTACCTTATTCAAAAGCTTCCTAGAAAAAAAAAATCCTAATTAGTTTTGTTTTTAGGAAAGCTTCATAATGTGCATTTTTAGGTTCTGAAAAGAAGTCTAATCAATTTATGTTTTTAATAATTGGAATTAATCATACAAGTATCAAATATATAATTATATAATACATATAATGTACATAATGTTTTCATAAAATATCTAGTAGTCATTGGAGTCTGTATGCCTCCAATGAGACATAGAGGGAGAGGGAGAAAGAAAAAGAGAGAGAGACAGAGACAGAAATTGGTCATTGGTTTATGTTTATTCTATAGGATATCTGATTCCTGTAGAGAAAAGAAGGGGAGGGTCAGGGAGGGGAAGGAGAAGGAAGGAAGGAAAGAAAGGAAGGAAGGAGAAAGGAAGGAAGGAAGGAAGGAAGGAAGGAAGGAAGGAAGGAAGGAAGGAAGGAAGGAAGGAAGGAAGGAAGGGAGAAAGGAAGGAAGAATTGATTTATGGTTTATTCTCCAAAACATCAGCTTCCTATGTAGCCTTGAGTAGGTTATGTAACTTCCTCATTCCTCTTCTTTAAACAATCTGCCACCATTTTTTGAAAGGTAATGAATAGACCCTACTACAAAATGGTTGCTGTGTCTAGTTCTTTGCACCTGGAGCCACTATGTGTGCAGGTCACATAGATACTAGCTGTGTCACTCCTGTCCGTGTGTGTTCAGCGATCCTAAATGCTTCCTCAGGGCACCAACTAACAGGCAAACATCAGTCTGTGTGGAAGAGAGATCAAGTTCTTCCTGATTCTTCTGTAGTAGATAACTGAGGCAAAGGTTAGCTATCACAGTATAGTACTGTGATTAGTCTTTTTTTCCTGGAGATTAAAATTCTCTCTGGTGAACAGGGAATATTCGATCTTCACAAAGGATTAATCCTTGAGAAATACAGACTACATATCTCATTTTCCCATGGCCCTATTAGCACCCTTACCCCAGGACCTGGGGTAACTGGATGCTGCCTACACAACAGCCCAGGGCCTCACTGAGCTGTGCAGAAACCTCACCCTCCCTCATCTTGTGCACAGGGTGCTGCCAACACTGTCTCCTTTCACCCACCCCCTCCATCCCTCCAGCCATCGCTTTTGCTCAGGGCTCTACTTTCCACTGGACTTTCACAACTCTGCCCGGAACAGGTTTCTCTACTTTATGTTATCATTAAACCCATCTACTCTACCAGAATTAATCCTATCAGAGTTATCTTGGAAAAGCATAACCGGATCGTCTCAACTGCTTCCCCATTTTCTCTGTATCCCTATTGTCTATAAGATAAAATCGAATTTTCCAGCCTGACATACCTATCTGTAACC